GTCCGATCAGGATCAACTGCCTACCTTTAAAAAAATAAAAAAAATAATCATAATAATAGATAAATGTAAAATATTGCCACACACCCCATTAAGCAATAAGCTTTCAGTAAGAACAAAAGCCTTCACCCTGCACAAGAAAACCTACTGCCTCCGGAGTCTGCGCACAGCACTAATGAAGCACAAATGTAGATCTAACTCGGACTATGCTCTCCCACAACGTCACAACAGACTCTGGCAGCCATCTGTTGGAGGGATGCTGTGCCTATATATAGCCAGACAACGCCACGAGAGAAAGAAAAACTCATATCTGCACCTAATTCAGCACTTGCACTATTGGCAGATCTGCAAGCACTTTTTTTACCGGCCAAACAAATGTTCACTCCACAAATATCCCATCTAAAAATGATACAAACTTCAATGTAAAATTATCTGGAACAAGAAAGTAACTCGGGTGTTAAAAGGAGCACTAACAAGTGGGTAAGTGGCTTCGAGATACACAGATTTTATGGGCCATTTGCAAGAACAGTTGATTTCAGCCCGATTCAATGTGCCAGTCTGCCAAAACAGCAAATAGATGAAAAAAAGCCTCAACAAACTGTATTCAATACATTCCTAAAAGTTGGCCAAGTACCATACAGACACATCTCATGACACCAAGGACAACTTACAGAGGAACTGAAGCCTGGGAGGTCTTGGATTACGAGCCAGTTGTGGCACCGGTGATGGTTTCTTCTTCGGAAGCTCAGGACAGGAGTAACAGGAGGTGACGCACACCACCGTGAAGCACTGACAGGAAAACTCCAAATAGGAAACAAAATGGGTGCTGCCATTGCCACTGGTTTTTAAATTCAGTTCTCTTCAAAATGGGAGTAATGGGGCCAGTGCAAGACAGGTCGGAGGTGGCAGAGCTGTGTGAATGCATGTGATTTAAATTCTATTTTTAAATTAGCTGGGGTTGAGGGGGGCTGCATGAACAAACCTGGATATGCCTGGGACAGCAGGGGGAGCTGCGAGTCTGCGTTCCTCTGCATGTCTATCTAATTGCGTTGAATATTTGGACAAAAACACAGAAGTACGCTTGCACACCACCACAGAAAGATGTCTGCATGTCTAACAAGCCGCAAAAAGAATCGAGTTCATAACAAAGCATTAAACAAGGAACAAGAGATAATTGTCACCTTCTCTCACAAGATAATAAAAATAGTTACACCATAAACATAAAAAATCTTTTAAAAGACCCCTGACAGCATTTCCTCCTGGAACTATCACTATAGCAATGAGCATTCAAATAAGGGGAAAGTACTGCTGAATTCTGCGCTTGCTATTTTCAACAAACTAAAAATACAAACTGAAAAAAATACACACAGGTGATATAGAATGAAGCACATGAACATAAAAAGACTTCAACGAAAGTAAAGGTGGCAAATTCCACCTGCAAATCTTTAATACTCCAGGAAAGAAATCCTTTAACCAGGTAGCACAGATTGAAAGAGTGCCTGCAGATAGCTGCAAACCCATCCGATAGCTGCTGTATCCAACAATCCCTATTTATAACGTTTTGCACAGGTCAATGTGGAGGTGGAGTGGCAGTATTGTGTGAAAGCTGAGGAAAAGATGCACCTTAGAGAGAAGGCGCTAGAAATCTGTACTGGCAAAGCTGTATAGGAAACCTAGGAACTGGAAAAGCAGGGTATCTGATGTGTTAAGATATAGGCACAGAGCAGAGCTCTGAGGAAGGGTGCTTGCAAGTAGCAAACCCTGTCTTCTCCAGTTGGTGCTATTAAATAGGTCTTATTTCCATGACATTCAGATCCAAAGTTGAGATTAAATAAAGGAGAGAAGAGTGGGTTGTTTTAAAATTCCTCTCCCAGATGCAGACGTCAGGAGCGCACACAATAGCAGGTGCCGGGTGTATTGATCCTACTGAATACGCATGGAGTGGGTACTTGAGCATGTACCAAGCATCTGCGTCTGGGAGAGGAAAGCACTTTGTAAAAGGCTGTTTTATGCTAAACAAATGCATCAGGTTATGTTTTTATTTTGAATATTTTAAAGCATCTTGCACATTGGGGCAGACTTGAAAAGAAATTATACAGGCAACCAGACAACGTACCATTAATTGCACAAGTTACTATCTCCATAGCTGAAAACTGGCTGTGGGCTCACTCAGGAGCACTTGAAGCTGCTGAAAACTATCCTCAGTAAAACCTGCTCTGACTGCTGCACCTCAGAGAACTGCAGATCCTGCACTTGAAGACTCCTCAGGTCCCACGCGCTGAACCAGCTGCAAGCAGGCGAAGGACAGACACGTTTCATCCCTACAGCTCCTCAATGTAGCCAGCAGGGAAGTGACAAACACTGCAAATTCATAGCGGGACCGGACAAAGAGGCTGAGATGGACAACGCTTGCTGACTTTGATAATAAAAAAAGCCATAATGGCACATTCAGAAGAGAAAACCAAACAAGCACCCATTAGAAAATTTGGCTATAGTTTGTAGTAGACATCAAGATAAAGGTTTTTCTTTTCACAGACAGATTATGACCAAAATCTGTACCAGAAATCAAACTTTGTACTGCATTTGCTCATGAAATCTTTTTTTCCTTTGTCAAGGAGGGAAAAAATTAATCCCTACAGGAGATGACAAGATGCCTTTTAAAGTACATATCTCATTTCTGACTACAATTACCTTTCAATAGCCTGGCACAGCTGCACGCTCCTATTTGCTTTGTGTTTTTCATTAAGGGCTCCTCTATTATTTGTACCCATCCTATAGCACTTATGCCTGGCAGTGATGCACATTCCCTTGCCTACGATTCTCCCCACATATAGTAGAGAATAAATTGCAATTAGATTTTCGTAATTGTAGATAATTAACTCAAAATGAGCTGTTAATTATAAAAAACCTATGTTTTTCAGTTCTTGATTATATTATTTATTTTACTTCTAAACTCTAATATCTCACTTCAGCAAGTTTAGTATTTTAAAGGACTTTCCCTATTTCCTTTAAAATACCAGAATATTTTTAAGCTAAGTTTTGCTTATTTGAAGACTGAAATCAAGTTTCATGCTGTGACGTTTACTAGAAGAGCTCTCGTGTATGAACTGAAAGTCAGCGAGGGCTGGTTTTCCATTAGGGTTCTGATAGCATTTGCTGTAACAAGAACCATTTGGTAGGTCAATTAAAAAAGAAGTAACAACAAACCAACACGCCCCCCCAACCCCCAGAAAAATCCAAACCCCGCAACCCCAACAAAACAACAAAGAAACAAACAAAAAAAAACCCACAAAAAGCAACCAAACAAAAACCACAACCACAAAACAAAAAAGACTGTTAGAAAAAAGGATTTAATCCCACCAGCTCTTCCTCCTTTCTAAGCTCTAGCCACACACTTGTGCACTCTCTCTCGATACCGAAGAAAACATCACTTACATATTCAAATGCATAAAAGAGACAAATGGACTTGTCTTCTGCAGCCTCTTTCAGCCTTACATTAGAGTAAATTATTTAGGGACCATTCATCTGGTAACCTTTGCAAAACTGAAGATGGCATATAGGAAGAAAAACTTCCAAGTGTTTTGCTGCCAAACTTTGGAACCAGCTGGCGTGGCAACTTGAGAATGCACAGAAACACATCAACGTTGAAAAATTACAGTAAATTAAACCAGGGGAATGAAGAGAGGGTGGGGAACCTTTTAAAATCTGGAACTCTCATTTTGTTAACGGCACAGGTTTTCCTCATTTTCCCTGCTAGGCTATGTAAATTTTTGCAGGTTTTTGGTAAATCGTTGCCAAGAAGCCCCACAGATGTTCTAGGTCACATTGCTCCTCCAAGTCACTTAATGTTACTGCATCTTAAACATACCATGACTTTCTATCTTTTTTGTTACAGTGATCACACTTTGATCACTTCAGTCTGTGTGAAAATGAAGCAAAAAAGCATCAGAATACAATGAGGACATGTCAGTAACTCACAGCAGCCAAACACCTGGTTTTGGAAGCTAACTTCCGTAGTTCTGGAGAAAGAAGTCCTATCCCTTTCCAGTGTAGAGGGATGTCAATAAAATAAAATGAAATCACTATCACTTGATATAAAAAATTTAAGAAAAATGACAGCATTGGACCCTTAGTTTATAAATAAATTAACATTTCTGCAAGGATTCACACAGTGGAGAGAAAAGCTGATTATTTTAAAGACTTCTCTTGTCACTGAAGAAGGGGCCATTCAGAGGACAGCTGCTCTTCTTGTCCACCAAACAGAGGATACTTTGGTCAAAAGAACATCTATAGTTCAGCACAGAACAAGAAACTGTTACTTTTTGAGAAAGGGAGAAAAACCCTATCAAATTCACAGTTTTTTATTTGTTGCTTTTCTAATAAGCCTGAATCTTCTTCCAGTGCTAACAGGAAATGTGACAGGGTTGGACAAAAAGAAAACACAATAATGTATTGATTAAAGTTTTAAATAGCATGCAAAATTGAGATAAAGAGCTAAATACAGGCTTAACTCTGCTTCCAGTTATTTCGGTGGTAGCTTGCTCTGATTGCACTGAAGCAGAGGTGAGATACAGCGTTGTTTAAAAAACAACAGCTCATTTCTATGTGGGAGTTAAAGGATAATGTATTTTTTTACAAATAAAATCAAGAGATGTTCTGATCTTAATTGGAAAAATAAGGGGCAGTACCTAGAACAAAGAACAAAAGCTAAGATGTTGTGAAAACTCCGTTTTGCACTGGGCTAGGTCAGTGTCCCTAAGAGATGACGCACAAAACCTGAGACCCCTACAGGAAGTCAACCCCTAAACCTTGAGCAATAACAGCTCTGCATAACTATTGAGTTGACTCATAAAACACAACAGCCAATGAATTTTACCTTTCCTGCAGAAAAAAGCTCTTAATCTGAAACAAACACAAGAACAAATACACTTGGCAGCCAACAGCACACTGTCAAGAAGATATACCGACACTGTGAAGTACTTAGGAGAGAAGAGAGGAATTACCTTAGCCCCGTGCTGTTGCCGTTCATCATCAGAGCAAGTTCTCCAGGTGCTTCATCAATGGGCACATCTTCTGACCCAGGTATGCAGCCTCTAAACCTGAAAAAGCAGAGGTAGCTGGTTTTGCAGCTGGTCAAATCATCACACCAGGAACTCGCCACAGAAAGGTGAGTTGTGTGTCTACAAACAAGGCACTCGATCACATTAAGTGCAGAAGCTTTCACGACTGTTTTCACACTTTCCAATATACTTTTGTATTGCAAGGCTGACTTATGTCCAGTGCCTTTACTTCTAAAGGTTTCCATTGGGAAAAAGATTAGAAAAAATTTAATTTACTGATTTCCAAGGACCAGCTCCCTTAAGAAAATGGTCACAGTATCCAATAACAAACATCCCTGTTGGGCTCAGATTACAGCTCCAGCAGCATCAGAGCTCACAGGCACCATCTGTAAACTGCCTAAAACGGAGGATTCATTGGAGATGGTTGTGTCTCCTGAAACTATGGGCCCATAGATGATTCTTCATTTTTAACAGACTACCCCACCTTTTTCTTTCTCTCCAGTGAAGATATAAAAGTAAAGGTGCTTCTCTCTTTTTATTTGAATAAAATGTCTGTTTCCAGGATTTGCCTGCATTTGCTGGTGCTGTTGGCATCAGCAGAAGTCACCGCGCTGCCTCCTTCTCTGCACACACACCAGTTCTGACAGCTGAGCAACTGCTCCACACAGGAACAGTTTGTCTTACAGAAACTGCAGGCTGAAAGTACTATGCTCACTCGAGGCTAAATAGGCAAATGTGGGACATTAAATGCAGTTATGATGCAACGTAGCCAAAAAAAGGATCAATTAATACTTTTGCTAAAGGAGCAGAAGAGTTAATAGCCAATAATGACAAATGGTCAGACCTTTTACTCGTCATTCAATGACAATTCTTTCAGCAGCTCAGAATGGACCTTAACCAGCGCTCCACCCATGCAGAAGGACAGACAAAAATAAACACTCTCTGGAAATGGGTTTCTGTTGTATTGTTTTTTTAAGCTGTCATGATGTGAAGAGATGAACTAGGTTAGAGCCTCCTGACAATGAAGCAAAGGGTATTTGAGCTTAGCTAGACAAATTTTTATTGTTTGTAGTATATAAAATTACCCTGTTATCAAGTTCAAAAATTAATTATATATCTAGAACTGAAATCGAACTGTGATGCCTAAGGGATTTACCTGTAAATAACAAACATTTAATTCTAAAGAGATGGAATATTTTCTAAGAGCAAGCACATTATGTTCTAGTTGCTTTTCACATACAGAATATAGCAAATGTGCTTTCACTGGCACCTCTGAAAAGAGATGACAAAAATACTGGGTCCTGCAATTGATCAGATATGATTTCCTCACTTAGAGTTCTTTTAGGTAACTATAGCTCTGTAAACCATGACATTCTTTTCAGAAAAAAAGAATTGCTGAAGTGGACATGGTGGCATCAGCAAGCACATCATTAAGAATACATTTAAGATCCAGTTTTTTCTGGGCTTACAATACCTCAAATACTGAAAAACATCCATTACAAACACGAACACCAGAAAAACTCTATGTCCTTCATATTCTACTTGTTTTTCATTAGAGAGATGCATGCATAGAATTAAGGTATTTGATGAATACGAATCCATCTGTTCCTACTGAATTCTCACCCGAAGTCATAATCCTTTGTTTGTGACCTCAGTCATTTTCAACATGCACAACTGTCTTTAAGACAGGTACTTTTAAAGCCATAAAACGCATCATTTTCAATGTAAACTACAATCCAAGACAACAAACAAAAAAAAACAACTAAATCACAGTGTTTTCTTAGATTTTGAAAAGAAACAAGGGGCTGGGACTAAGGAAAGAGAGCAATCTATTCCTCAATGGTGGTTATAATACATGAATGTGGGAAGTGGGTCATGTAAGGCAGACTCTCGTGGGATACTGACGGCAGTTGCCATATTAAAACAGTATCGAAATGAGCATCCTCATGAAACCTCCTATTGCTTCTTCTGAAAGACTGCTAGATTTTTCCTCATTGCTTTCACTTCCTAATGCTAAAAAGCCAGTTCTCAACTGAGTTACGCTGGCTAATTCAACTTGCTTTAACACACTGCCTTTCCTTGTTTCTCTCCACACTAACGCGATACCAATAAACCAGTTTATCCCTATTTCCCACAGTCCCCATTTATATTGTCAGGAAGGTATTACCTCACCTCTGCAACGAGCTCATGGGCCTTTCAAGCCACTTCCCATACTTCTGTGGTTACTGTCTTTCCCTTCCCCTAGTTTTAGGCATGTACTGTGCCTCCATCTTGGCGTTCCCTCTTCCAAAAAGACACCGCTGGAAAGAAAATGTCCTTGCTACACAGAGCTCTGTTCCTTTTCAACACAAACATATACGTATATATATGTACATATAAAAAATGATCCTCACTTTTTCACACTTCTTCCAGTCCCTAACTAGGAATGTGCAATACTTCAAAACTGCCCTCTTGAAGGAAACACGGGGGAATGCCACATCCGTGTCGCACACGCTCACAGAGCTCTCTTGCCAAACGTCTGTTTTCCTTCAAGAGCCTGCACTAAGATCAACCTCTCTTTTTCTTCTACTGTTCCACTTTTCCTGCCTAGTCTTTTAGCACTGCTTTTCTTGTGCCTTTCTTTCTACCACATACTGTTTTCCTCTGCTGCTTTCCACAGCTGTCATGCTGTTTCCCAACTGTATATGCTAATATACTAAAAAGTCTCCTCACCTCTAAATCACTGTTAGAATTTGTGCCACAGGTCTTGCCTATCTTATTTTATCAGTTCCATTCTCCCATTTTAATTAAATATTGCCCATATGTTCATTAGAAATTTTAGATTTTTTTTCTTAAGCATAAATCTCAAAATCACCTGTTATAATCCAGACGGGACTGGTGCAGTTGCTGTTGTTTTAGGAGCAGTTTTGCTTCTTGCTGAGCCAACAAATGTTGGAGTCGTTCCTTTTCAATTTCCAGCTCCATTTTCTGCAGGAGCAGCTTCTGCCTTCTTACTTCATACAATTTTTTCGCCTGCCCTGCTGCCTTAGGCCCTGAGTCCACACTGTCATTCATCCCAGAAACTCGAGAGTGTCTGGAATAATCACAGGTTTTGTGAACTGGCCCAGGGTGTCTTCTAAGTGCCTGGCTGCCATGGTGGCTCTCCTGCACGCTCCCTGAGCAACCTGCGTGCCTGTAGGCACAACAGCAACTCACTTGCTGAGGGCACGTGCTCCGAAATTCATTTACTTTCTGGTCCACCTCCTGAGCTGGTTGCACATGGTGAGGGCTCCTCTGCTTGGCCAGAGAATTTATGTTGTTACACTTCCTGCCCAAGTCATTTTCTACCGGATATCCCTTCAGCTGCTCCTGACGGTTGTAACGGACTTCAGTCCTGTTATCGTGGTTATTGCTGCAAGGCTGAGCCGACGCCACGCAGGCTGGGCTTTCAACCTTTGGTGCTCTGCTGTTCTTATGAAGAGCTTGAGGTCTCAAAATACCCAAGTAGGAACCATTCAGCTCCAAGGATGGTTGCTGGCACAAGCTCGTCGTACTGCATACCTGCAATAAGAGAAACAATTTCCTGTGAATTACCAAAATTTATTTTTGCTCGTTAATTTCACTTGGTAAATGTGTTCTCTCAGGAAGAGACTTGCTGCATCATGCTGATGGACACACAGCCAAACCTGAGAAAATATTTATCAGAAGACAGACACGAATCTGCTATCAAATCTACATTTCATTCCATCTACACGAGTATAATAAATGTAAAACTACTGCCTGCAGGATCCTCAGCATAAAATGAGTCGCTTCAGAGTATCAAGTAGTTGTGAGCATCTAGGGTTACATAAAATCAACTTGAAGAGTGGCAAAAAACATTAAATGTTAATGTTTGAAAATGTTTAATTTTGAATACCGAGCCAAAAAATCCATTCAGCCACTATAAATACTCTTTGATTGGCCATTACACAGCAGGAGATTTGATGTAAAACATTTCACCTTGCACTGAATGGGATATTACTTACCGCTGGAAATTTGATGAGAGTTTTTGAAATATCTTTACAGAAACACAGATAAAAACCAACTACTTTCTGTAAAAAATGGTTGTACATCAAAAGCTGTCATTTAAATACAAAACATGTTTAAATTCAGCTATAAACGTAAGTGATTTTTCAATTAAGCTGGGCAAGTGATTATACTCTGATAAAACTCTGAAGAAAGCAAGCAACTGTAATTCACATTTGTCAACCCAGTGCAAGCAAATTCTCGCGGTTTTGTTACACTCATGGATATTAGGTAACAGACATCAAAATCCTGCTTAAGTCCTGCACTGTGGTTCATCCAGGCAGTTAAGCATTTCAGCTTTTACGCACATCAGAACAGCAGTGAATCAGGCGCTCGCATTTCTTTTGCTAGCCCTGTCCATTAATTTCAGTAACTTACTGAATTTAAACTCCTCCAGCCGCTGGGACCTTTCACAAAGACCTATTTTTTTTTAATTAGTGAAGCTGGGCCTCTTAAAGATAACAAAGCCACTGCAGCGAAAGTGGTTTAGCAGGGAAATTTGGTATCTACTGATGGAAAGAAAAGTATTGTTTGCACTCTGGCAGTGGTTACAACAGACAGATATCATCCGCGCAGAGCGAAGACAGCCAGCAAGCCCCAGAGCACTGGAACTTAGGAATGCAAGCAAGCGTCCAGCAATGATTAGAAGAGAGATATAACCCAAATCTATGCAGCATTTATATGTATAATTTAAATTCTTTTTTATAAATAAACAAAATACCAAATATACTCTGCTGCCCTTCAAGACAACCAATTACAAGTCTCTTGCAGACTTCATAGAATGTAAATTAACATGGATTAGCACCTGAATACTGATATTTTATTATTTCCAGTTTTGTGGATACAAATATATCCTCTCTGCCATGTGATTGAAAGCCAAGGATGTCATGTTTTGCCCCAGAGGGCCCCGCGAGTTGGAGGCATTTGCATTAATGTCAGTGCTAAATGTCTGAGGAGAGTCTGGTGCTTGGACTGGGTGAAAAGTGCAGGACATTAAAATATTTTAAAGTCAGAGGGGCTGGCAGGGCAACTGAGCAGAAATGCAACATGCTGCCAAAAAGACGGAGTTTTGTTATTTATTATTTGTAGCATGCCATCCTTGTCTGCAGTATTTTCTAGACAAATAAATGCTACAAAGTCCTTTTAATCTAAATTAGGCAATGCATAAAGGGATGACCAGCAACTGGAAGAAATATTACAGAAAAGGGACAATAAGAGAATCCTATGGTTACAACACTCTCTCCTTCCCCACCTCACCTGCTCCTGCCAATAAAGGACCTGGGGCACCAACAGGAGGAGGCTTTTATGGGGGGCAGTTTCCCAGCCCCCAGAACAGCAGAGGGTGGCAGACCTGAAGGTGTCCTCAGAGGAACCTTTCAGAGCTGGCAGCTCAGGGTGGTCTACAGAAAGCAAACACCTGCCCTTCTCCAGCACATAAACAGAGGGGAAAAGGAACCAAAACAGAAGATTCAAATGATGGAATGACTGAGAATTTCTTTATTTTAGCAGTTTGTTGTATTGACTGAAAAGAGACTGTTAAGAAATCCAAGCACATGAATGAAGATGGTACAAAATAATCATCAGGAGCAGGTTTAAGAATAAAGGCCCACATCGCAAATTAACTTCATGGCTGAGACTCTATTAAGAGTCCCTGAAGGCCCTAAAAGAGAGGTACCAGTTAGCATTTGTTGACCTTGGCCGCCATTAAATCTGCCCTGATGGTCTCAGAAATGGCATTGACATTTAAAGACTTCATAACAAGGCAGAGAAACTTTAATGTTATTTCACAGTTACAATATGTTTGCAGGGGGGGAAATTCTCATTAATGTCATTGAATGCAAGTGGGGATTTTTATTCCTTTAGAAGAAGGAGGTCACGTTAGGTAGAAGACTGAGTCCCAGTTTCACATGCCGTAACGACTACTCAGCAGTACTTTGCAGGCTCTAACCCCAAAGAAAAATTAACTACTGGGAATCAGAAGATAGTTAACAAATCTGTTAGAAATTTGTCTTTTTCTGTTAATACTTTAATTGAAAACTGCAGCTGGATGGTAGAGGCTGCAGGGAAAACAGACTGACATTTACACTTATGAGGGATCAGATGAGGCCGGAGCATGCCATGGCAGATCTGTAAGAGGCAGGCCAGGTGAAAGGGAAAAGTGAAAAAAAAATCATTTCTAAAGACCCCCTTGCTACCGTGAGCCTAAAGACTCACAAGCATAAGGAACTGGGTAATTCTACAAGATGAGTTTAAGAAAGATATTGCCTGCGGGACACATGGAAACCATGACGGACCATGATGGAACAGCTGTGCTTTCCCCTCTGCGGAGCTCTTCCAGGCTTGCTGTACGGTATTTAAAGACACAACTTCCTCTAACCGAGGCTTAAACAAACAAACAAACTCAGGCTGCTCCTTGCAACATATGGAGTTAATAAGACTTGATCAGATGTGAAACTCTTGCATGAAAACAAGGAGATATTTAAAAAATAGTTCAAATAGTCTTTAGAAGAGTTTAAAGAGGAAGACATGTGGGGAGCTCTACGAAATCTCTACCACAATCCCAGTAATTTTTGCTCAGGGATTCAGAGCAGAGCTTAAACAAACATCCAGTCCTTAAAACTTCCTACAAACAGACAAACAGAGCACCAGTTTTATGCACGCTGCATTACGATCTCGGCAAATTCTTCTTGAATGCAACTTGTGCGCTCTGCAGTGTTAATTACAGCGCTGGCAGAGGAAACACACGTTTACAGACTGACTCCAGCACACAGGGCTTTGTGCTGCGAGGGATGAACTAGTAACAGATCGGATCCTACAGTCTCAACACAGGCAAGGTCCTGACAGACTTCACTGGTAGCTCTGCATGTACAAAACATGTTTAAGAAACAGCCCAAAATCATTACCTCAAGAAGTCTTGCACTCTAAGAACAAAAAGCTAATGCCCTAAGAAAATACAGTGCTGTTATGGTGAACATCAGAATTCCTGTGTAAATTAACAGTGTTAGTTTAACCCATAGCACGTGGGTTTGTAGTTTGTAGCTGAAATATATTCTAATACAGAAAAAGAGACAGTGAACTGAAATTATTCTCATCTGTATCTTGATAACGTTTCTCTAACCTGGATTTTCAGCTGTGGGGTTTCTTCTGGTGGGGTAGAAACAGAGGGAGACACATGCAGGGTCAGAATTAGTCCACTGTGCTGATCTGAGCACAGACCCTGGAGGAAGACAAGAAGAACAAACAGAAGCAGCAACCAAAAGAGAAATACAGAGATTTAAAAATAAGACAAAAATTCCTAAATGGACAAATGAGACGCTACCATAGAGAGGGACACCTCAAAGAGCACCAAGGGCACTCATTAGTGACCCAGCTGAGGCACTCATCAAGGTGTACATCCAAACCTGGAACACAGTCACCACCATGGACTGCTGATGTATGGGTCTCAGCTGAATAAAGCTTGGCTTTGGGTTTGCAGGTCTATCGACAGTATAAGCACTTGCTCTTCTCAGTAGAATGAGGAGAATATATTATAAATAAGCTCAGGTAGGATATTGGGGCAACAGAAACGCCATTTTAAGAACAATTATTTCAAATGATAGGACTATTTGAAGTGCATTAATAATGATTAAAGAGCTATCCTTTCCAAGAGTCTGCAAGAATTTACCAAGGAGAATGTAAAAAGGTAAAGATTTTAAAGTAAATTAGGAGGATCTACTGAAGTCTATAATTTTTTCTTTAAATAATATGAGCCTTTATTAAAACTTTGACTATAAATAACCTAATATAGGTCATTACAAAGTGCCCACATAATAGTTTAGCAACGGTCCCTGTCAGTACCTAAGATGAATACAGTAGATAACTCGGAAGGTAAGCTGACCATTTTTCAAGCACCATTTTCTGCAGAAATTATGTATAGCTGTGATTGCCATACTCTACTGAATAAAACAAGTGGTCTCAAATCAAAGAAACTGTGTGAATGGCAGTCACAAGGCCTGTATTTTTCCTGTAAAAAGCTACTGAACTCAATGCACTGAACAGGTGTAGCAAACTAAAAAAACAGGATCACATCACAAAAAAGTGAATCTATAGTTGCTAGCTGACAGCAGAGGTACACCTCCTATGTTTCAATTTTTTTTCTGCTCTTTGTGAAGAGGCTTTGAGCTCGGATGCCAGGTGCACAAAAAACCTGCATTCAAAGTGGCATGTAAGCATTTGCTGGCACTCAGCTCTAAGTGTATATTTTGCATTCATAAACATGCCACCCTTCTTCTCCAGCTACACAAATACTGTAGATAATCTCTAACAAATGCTTCCATTTCAGATCAGCAAACCGGTTTTGCGCTGGCTGATAAGGCAGTCATTAATAATACAGCGCTTCAAGAAAACCAAAGCAGGCGCCTGCACCTTGGGTCTTGGAAGTCGCTGTGAGCAGAATGCCCACCAGGCCCAGACTGTCCCTACACACGGCAATGCAATACCTGACCACTAAAATTAAG